GGCGTGCAGATGAACTCCTGAACAAGGCCTAATGCCCGAACCGTCGCCCACGAAATAGACTGGGGAGGGGGGGGGGTTCCTTCTAAGGCTGCACGTTGCTGCTGCTGTTGTTGTGCGTGTACCACCACTTCTATTGTTGTTGTTGTGCGTGCACCACCACTTCTATTGTTGTTGTTGTTGTGCGTGTACCACCACTTCTATTGTTGTTGTTGTGCGTGTACCACCACTTCTATTGTTGTTGTTGTGCGTGTACCACCACTTCTATTGTTGTTGTTGTGCGTGTACCACCACTTCTATTGTTGTTGTTGTTGTGCGTGCACCACCACTTCTTTTGTTGTTGTTGTTGTGCGTGCACCACCACTTCTATTGTTGTTGTTGTTGTGCGTGCACCACCACTTCTATTGTTGTTGTTGTTGTGCGTGCACCACCACTTCTATTGTTGTTGTTGTTGTGCGTGCACCACCACTTCTATTGTTGTTGTTGTTGTGCGTGCACCACCACTTCTATTGTTGTTGTTGTTGTGCGTGCACCACCACTTCTATTGTTGTTGTTGTTGTGCGTGCACCACCACTTCTATTGTTGTTGTTGTTGTGCGTGCACCACCACTTCTATTGTTGTTGTTGTTGTGCGTGCACCACCACTTCTATTGTTGTTGTTGTTGTGCGTGCACCACCACTTCTATTGTTGTTGTTGTTGTGCGTGCACCACCACTTCTATTGTTGTTGTTGTGCGTGCACCACCACTTCTATTGTTGTTGTTGTGCGTGCACCACTGCCAACGCAGTCCGACTATTCATGACCCGGAGGAAATCCGATGAGCTATGAAGCTCTTTTTCGCATTTCGACTTAAAACTTTCGTGACTGTAGGAATTTATATTCGATGTGGGTTGTTTTTTCTTCCGGTGGTAAAGTCTATCCCGCCTGGTGACGGCCGCTCGTGTTGCGATCGAAACGTCGTGAGTTTTTATTTTTATTTTTTAAATATTTTATTATTTTTATTTTATTTTCTACCGACGTGACTTTGCCGAAAGAACCCATCACTACTCGACTCGAAGAATACTCCATTTCGCAGTTAGCCCGTTAAGAGTTGAAGCAGCTACAGCTGCAGCAGCAGCTACAGCTGCAGCAGCAGCTGCAGCTACAGCAGCAGCTACAGCAGCAGCTACAGCTGCAGCAGCTACAGCTGCAGCAGCTACAGCAGCAGCAGCAGCTACAGCTACAGCAGCAGCTACAGCAGCTACAGCAGCTACAGCAGCTGCAGCAGCTACAGCAGCAGCAGCAGCTACAGCTGCAGCAGCTACAGCTACAGCAGCAGCAGCTACAGCAGCAGCAGCTACAGCAGCAGCAGCAGCTACAGCAGCAGCAGCAGCTACAGCAGCAGCTACAGCAGCAGCTACAGCTACAGCAGCAGCTACAGCTACAGCAGCAGCTACAGCAGCAGCTACAGCTACAGCAGCAGCTACAGCTACAGCAGCAGCTACAGCAGCAGCTACAGCTACAGCAGCAGCTACAGCAGCGGGCATCACCGCCCAAGCGTTGACGTTGAACGTCTGAGCATGGACCCTGGCGGTAGGGATGAGAAGTAGCGGCAGCAGCAGCAGCAGTAGCAGCAGCAGCGTCGTGATCAAAGTGAAATCCGCGAGCGAGTGTGTGCAGTCGGGCTGGACGAGTCTTATGACAGATATCGCGATTTGATTTGCGATTACATTTCTTTAAAGTCAAGCTTCAGTTCAATACTATTTGGCTTTTTCGGTAAAGTCACGTAGGTATAAAAACTAAAAATAAATAAAATAAACTCACGACGTTTCGGGCGCAACACAAGCGCTCGTTATGGTTGATTTATTATTTATATTTCATTGTAAGTTTTCTACCCACGTGACTTTACCGAAAGAACTAAAGAGTGTGGATTCTTGCAGTCACGAAAACTTCAAATCTTCAGTTCAGTATTCAGTGTAATCGATTTAGAACATGTGGTGGAGCATTACCACGTGATACCATCACAATATGAACTGCTCTATATATTCTAATTCAAGGATGATAACTTAAAATACATGAATTGCTTCCAACATGTATTTATTAAAATGCTTTAATTGAAGTAAAAAAATCTAACATAGAACAATTGTTAAGCTAAATAAAGTTATAATAATAAATAAAACAATTCCAATAAAGTCACAGGACTTTTCAAATCGCTAAAAATCGCAGCCTTTGCCATTTGCTAATCGCATTGTTTAAAATTTCGATTCGAGATCGATTAATCGTTAAGCCTGAGTCGGAAATCACGTACGCGCCTGTGTGTGTCTGTGTGTGTGTGTCTGTGTGTGTGTGTCTGTATGTGGGGAGTGGTGGTGTAGCGGTTAGCGCTACGCTGCGCTACGAACCTGGCGACCCGAGTTCGATTCCCGCTCACGGCCAAAATCAGTGACGATTTTCTGAACGGGTCCTGGTGCCTCCCCTAGGTCGACTCAGCCTCAAATGAGTACCTGGTGCGGTGTGTAAACATTGCCGCTAGGGAGACAAAGGCGGTCGGGCGTGGTGCTGGCCACCCACCCCCTCGTGTACCGTTCCAGCCTTCATAGGTGCTCGCTAACAACACTTGCCCCTACAGTCTGTTAAGGCTATACGGGGGATCTTTATCTTTTGTTTGTGGTGTAGTGGCGGTGTTTCATTGCTTGCTGCTGTTGTAACGTTCTGCGCCACGTGCCCCCTACTGGACATTTGTGGTGGGGGGGGGGGAGCTTTATAGCTCTACGGATTTCTTACTGCAGTCTAAATATTCACATTCGGATCGTTTGGCCCAGGCACCAGCCATGGCACTCTCCTGATGTGAGCCGCGGTCACATCTGAATATTGTACTGGTAGGAACCTCCTGGTTCCACCAGCCTACAGGGGATTATTGTGTCTGTCCGTCGTGAAGGGAGGGGCTGGGTGGGGAGGGAGGGGCTGGGTGGGGAGGGAGGGGCTGGGGTGGGGAGGGAGGGGCTGGGTGGGGAGGGAGGGGCTGGGTGGGGAGGGAGGGGCTGGGTGGGGAGGGAGGGGCTGGGTGGGGAGGGAGGGGCTGGGTGGGGAGGGAGGGGCTGGGTGGGGAGGGAGGGGCTGGATGGGGAGGGAGGGGCTGGGTGGGGAGGGCAGGTGGGGAGGGGCTGGTCACCCCGTGGTGCCCTTATGAAACTCAACGTTTAACCTACTCACGCCGGCTTGTGCCCGCCCTCAGTCGGGCATATTTGCGGAATACACCACGCCGCCGTTGACCCTGCAGGCCATTGACCGAGCAACCCAACAACGTTCCTACCAGCTCCTTCCGCAGGAATGTATTCTCTTGTTAAGCATCCGTATTTTTCTACAACTTTGCAGCAGTTTAAATATATTTATTTGTAATTTTAAAAATGAAAATGAATAACTTATTTTATTGGTGTATAGCTTTTTTTTTTCTTCTCAGGTTGAACAAAAACTCTATGCGTGTCGTGTCAATAGCGACAACGCCTTGTGTGTGTGCGGCTTCCACAATTGTATTCAAAAAGTGGCGTTTGTCGGGCAGTGACGCTGCTTCAGGGTGTCCTGAGTTTTGGGCCACCCTCTATTATGGCTTTTGGTTTACCCTGTATTTGTTTAAATGCCGATTTAAAATTGCCACCTATAAACCAAAGAGGACCTCCATCTTAACATTTAATTTCTTCTTCTTGGTTCTTTCGGTAAAGTCACGTAGAAGGGAAATAATAAAATAATAAAACATAATAAAATAATTCTCACGACGTTTCGGCCACATAACGCAAGCAGCCGTCCTCAGGTGAAGAACAGGTCTGTCATTCAGACGCTGTCTTCCCGACAGACCTGTTCTTCACCTGAGGATGGCTGCTTGCGTTGTGGCCGAAACGTCGTGAGAATTTATTATGTTTTATTTTTATTATTTTATTATTTCCCTTCTACGTGACTTTACCGAAAGAACCAAGAAGATGAATCCCTGCAGTCACGAAAGCTTTAAATCGAAATTTCATTTCTTGTTTTTTTAAATCTAACTCTCTAGATCCTTTCTTGGCTTCTCTCTCGCCCCACCAAACGACCACCATGGAGACCCAATCCCTCCAAACTTCCGCGCTGGACATTCCCCAGCCCGGGCCCTCTCTGGACAACCGCTTCCGCGCCTACGGCCCTCACCCGGGCGTCTCCGCGCAGAGCTCCCCGCCCGAGGAGCCGGCCGGCGCCGGCGGTCAGGTGATGGACGCTTTCAACAACTCGTCGCTGTCCTCCTCCTCCTCGTCTTCCTTGTCGTCGTCGTCGTCGCTACTGCAGGCACCGGACACGCCTCTGGGACATAGGATGGGGACAAACTGGTTCGCTACTATCAACATCCCAGACTATTACTCTCTGCAGCTGCAGCAGCAGCAGTATCACCAGCAGCAGTATCACCAGCAGCAGCAGCAGTATCACCAGCAGCAGCAGCAGTATCACCAGCAGCAGCAGCAGGAGGGCCCTCCTCGCCATCCGTCCACCTACGGGCCCACCGTGGCCACGACAGCCGGCTCGCTGGTGGCCGTTCACAATAATGGCGTGGCCACGGATGAAACGCTGGCTTACCAGCAGCAGCATCATCAGCAGCAGCAGCATCATCATCAGCAGCAGCGTCGGCAAAGGCAGCTCACGCCGAGGTCCATCGGCTTCGCCGCTCCGTTCCTCGCTGGCCTGGGCGCCGAGTCCCCCGACGACGACCTGGCGGTGGCCAGCACCTCGGCCAGATTCTTGGCTTCCACCGTGCCGTGCCAGCCGCCGCCACCACCACCACCGCCGCCGCACCACCACCACCAGCACCACCACCAGCACCACCAGCACCAGGGCTGGCCAGGCTTGCCGCCGGCCCCCGCGGCCTCCCGCTTCGAGGAGAGCGTCGTCATCGACATCGTCGACGACGACGACGACGATGGCAGCAGCAGCAGCAGCGGCGGCGGCGGCGGTGGCGGCGGCGGCGACACCGTGGTGAGCGTGTCCGACGACGAGTGCCACGGGACGATGATGCATCAGCAGCAGCAGCAGCTACTGCTGATGCATCACCTGCTACGCCAGCAGCAGCAGCAGCAGCCTCGCCAACTGCACCACGGGCAGAGGCCCGCTTACGAGTGGCACGGTGCTCTGGGCGAGGTCGGTTCCGATGGCAAGTGGGGGCTGCCGGCTTTGGGTGGTGGCGGTGGCGGTGGTGGTGGCGGTGGTGGCGGCGGTGGCGGTGGTGGTGGTGGTGGCGGCGGTGGCGGCAGTGGTGAGTCTGGTGCTTCGCCAGACGCGTGGCCTGCTCCGTTGATGATGATGCAGCAGCAGCAGCAGCATCCACATCATCAATATCAGGCTGGTCAACATGGACTCGACGCAGACCAAATGTCTCCTATTCAACCCACACAGCGGTATCATTATCAGCAGCTGCAGCAGCAGCAACAGCAGCAACAGCAGCAACAGTTCAATTTTCTGCAGCACCAGCAGCACCAGCAGCAGCTGTACCAGGAGCTGCACCGGCAGCAGGAGCAGCACGAGCTGCGCAAGCAGCAGCAGCAGCAGCAGCTGCAGCAGCAGCTGCAGCAGGGGGACGTGGTGGTGGTGGTGGTGTCGTCGCCCGAGAGCGACGGAGCGGGCTCCTCGTGCGAGCCCAGCGCCACCACGACGAGCTGGCGCGAGCGCCGCGACTCGGGCGTTGGAGAGGTGAGGACGCGGGAGACGTGCGTACAGGTGTGTGTGTGTACAGGTGTGTACAGGTGTGTGCGGGTGTGTACAGGTGTGTACAGGTTTGTGTACTTGTGTACAGGTTTGTGTACTTGTGTACAGGTGTACAGGTTTGTGTACTGGTGTACAGGTTTGTGTACTTGTGTACAGGTGTACAGGTTTGTGTACTTGTGTACTTGTGTACAGGTTTGTGTACTTGTGTACTTGTGTACAGGTTTGTGTACTTGTGTACTTGTGTACAGGTTTGTGTACTTGTGTACTTGTGTACAGGTTTGTGTACTTGTGTACTTGTGTACAGGTTTGTGTACTTGTGTACTGGTGTACAGGTTTGTGTACTTGTGTACAGGTGTACAGGTTTGTGTACTTGTGTACAGGTGTACAGGTTTGTGTACTTGTGTACAGGTGTACAGGTTTGTGTACAGGTATGTGTAGGGTGTGGCCTCAAGGTGCACTTGGCCTGGCACAAGCATCGTGGTGACGTCACCGCCACTTAGTGGCGAATGGCGGTTGTTGTTGTTGTTGTGTACGTGTGTGTGTACAAATGTACAGGTGTGTGTGTGTGTGTGGCGGTTAGCGCTACGAACCTGACGACCCGGGTTCGATTCCCGCTCGCGGCCAACACCGCCAGTGACGATTATCTGAACGGGGTTTGGGCCTCCCCTAGGTCGACTCGGCCTCTAAATACCTGGTGCGGTGTGTAGTAAACATTGCCACTAGGGGAGACAAAGGCGGCCGGGCATGGTAATGGCCACACCACCCCCACCCTCGTGTGCCATGCCGATCTTAACTTGTAGACTGGAACGGCACTTTGCCCAAGAGATGTTGAAGACTACATGGGGCATCTTTGTGTGTGTGTGTGGCGATATTAATCTGTGCACTTGTGGGGAGTGGTGGCACAGCGGTTAATGCACTGCGCTGCAAACCCTACGTCTCTATGGTGGTGGTGGAGGTTGATGGAGGAGGTTTTTCTCACCCACCCCCCCCCTCCCCGGTGGGTCTTAGCAGGACAACTTGATGAGCATCGATGAACTGGCTCGGTTCGCCAAGGAGCTCAAGATGAAGCGCGTCAACCTGGGCTTCACGCAGGCCGAGATGGGGATCTCCATCGGCTCGCTGTGCGGTGAGGCTCTCACGCGGCGGTGTGGGTGGGAGACTCGATCCGTGCCTCGCTCTGTCCGTGTGTCGCGTAGTCCACAACGCCTCAACTCCGTGGTCGTTGCCGTCCCCCCCCCTCCTCCCGCCCAGGCCGAGTGTTCAGCCAGACGACGATCTGCCGCTTCGAGGCGTTGCAGCTGAGCCAGAGGAACCTGTGCAAGCTGCAGCCGCTCTTCAAGCTGTGGATGGAGGATGTGCAAAGCAACGGCAGCATCAGCAGCAATGGCGGCATTGGCGGCAATGGCAGCAATGGCGGCAATGGCGGCAATGGCGGCAATGGCGGCAATGGCGGCAATGGCGGCAATGGCGGCAATGGCGGCAATGGCGGCAATGGCGGCAACGGCGGCAACGACACCAAAGAGGTAACGTCGCCCGGGCTATGACTCGCCCACCCACGCACGCACGCACGCACCCAGCCACCCACGCACCCACCCACCCAACCACGCACCCACCCACGCACCCACCCACCCATGCACCCACCCACGCACCCACGCACCCACGCACCCACCCACGCACACGATCACGGCCATCCTTCGTCGTCTCGGCCGCGGCAACCGGACAAACCCGCAATCGATCGACCGTCATCGCCCGATCGCTCGACAACGAACCCAGTCGCACCGCCCCCCCCCCCCCCTCCGCCACCAAAGAAACGGAATCTCGACCGTGGATCCACCACTCCCCGCAGGGCGTTGAGAACGCTGCGGCCGGACAGACCCTGAGCAAGACTCCGCGTGAGGTGGTGCAACGTATTCGCAAGAAGCGCACCTACTTTGCGAGCTACACGCGGATGCAGTTGGAGGCCTACTACAATGTCTGCTCCAAGCCCAACATGTCGGCCATCGCGAGCATCGCCCAGCATCTCAAACTGGAGAACAATGTGAGTCTATCGGACGAATCGTCGCCGCTACGACTCGCCACCACTGACCACCGCTACGACTCGTCACTGCTACAACTTGTCACCACTGACCACCGCTACGACTCATCACCACTACGACTCATCACCACTACGACTCATCACCACTACGACTCATCACCACTGACCACCGCTACGACTCATCACCGCTATGACCACTGTGACGACGGGGGGGGGGGGGGGGGCGAGAAGCGTTGAATAATTTCACTCTTTAATCGCTTCCCGTGATTTCTGTATGTGCGTGTGTGTATGTGTATTATTCTTATTACATCTTTCAAATGTTTGTCTTTACCTAGGACGGTGATGGACCCCTCAGAGTCCTGCTGCGTTCTACGGCATCTACAGTACCGGAGCCATTGCTAACGGAGGTATTGCGGTGCCACCACCACCACCACCGCCACGCTCTCGCCCACTGCCACTAACAACCACAACCACCGCCATTGTACATGGAGCTCACCAGCCCATTTGGAAGTCCTCTGACATGATGTAACAATGACAAATCGTAGCCATTATCGTCTTGCGTCACAGTGGCTCGGATGTTAACTACCTCTCCTGGTAAACAAGTCGTGGGTTCGATCCCAACCCTGACGCCTGCTGTACATTAGAAGTTTACATGTTCCCTCCATGGTAGCGTGTATTTTTCTCTGGGTCCTGCGTTGTGTTTTTTTTCCTTCCACGTTTAGAATCTACATCACGCGTTTTTTGAGTATTTGGTTCCCGCTTTAAATTTCCATGTGGTGGTGATAATAAGCCACCACTTCGTTGAGCCATCATTTGTGATGGCCACGTTGCTTGTGAAAAAGAGATTTGTGTCGGCTCGGTAGGCCCTTACACCCGGTGATATAAAAAGTTTCTAGATTAAATGCCCCCCGAAAATGGCAGCGCGCGCCTTCCATCCATTCTCCATCGCCTCCCACCTCGGTGGGAGCTAATCCGCCGGTAGGGGGTGATCATTGTTGCCATGTGGTTTAGCCTAGGAGGCACCCCCCCCCCCCCCCCCCCCCCCCCCACTCCCGGTAGCAGCTAACCCTGTGCGGCACAAATGTGACTCGGCACCTGCAAAGCCGGCATTGGTCGGGTCAGTAAATTTGCGTCGATTTAACTTTTTTTTGTATTACTATATCAATTGTTTGGGTCGTGACTCTCGCGCACACTTGTAACCAAGCCTCCCGTTCTCCTGTACCCCCCCCCCACCCACCACCTCTCGTGGCCTGTCTCCCCGCCCCCCCCCCCCCCCCCCCACAATCGCCGAACACGCCAGGTGGTGCGTTTGTGGTTCTCCAACCGGCGGCAGAAATGCAAGAAGGCCTGCACATCTTTCCCCGACGACAACGTGCCACCGTTTCACGCCAACGGGCACAATGGGCCTGGAGCAGCCGCGCCCGTCGTCATTGTCCATGACAACATCGACGGCAGCACCGGCGGCGGCGGCGGCGGCGGCGGCGGCGGTGACATCGTGGCGGCGGCGGCGATGGCCTACGACGGAGCCTTTGCGGCGTGTCACGACGAGGGCGGCGTGTGCAAGATGGAGACATCCGACGACTCTTGCCTGCGCAGCGCTGGCGCCCCTCGCAGTGGAGACGCCGGCGCCTGCGGGTTCAACGGCGACGCCGGCTACGACGGCGGCGATGGCGGCGGCGATGACGGTGGGAGGGACGGGAGCGGTGACGGCAGTAACCTCTTTCCGACCGCGGTGCACACTTACATGCGCTCCTTCGCCGGTTCCGGCCTCAATGACACTTAGGCTGACCATGGGTGGCAGCACCGGGCAGAGTCTAGCGGAAGTTAGTCTTGGTACTCTTAGACCTGGCTGAAGGTAAATGTCCCGTTTTTAGATGCATAGTGAGACTCCTTTCCTAGACTGGGGAGGGTTAATGGTCTAGGAAAGACTCAGGCTTTTGTGGTTGCTCTAGGTGGGAGTGGAGCCTTCTCCACAGCAGCCTGCCTACTCCTCCACCAGAATTTCGAGGCGAGACTAAGCTCAGACCTAGTTGAGTGCCTGTCCTGTTTACATCTTGAGTCCGTTGGGAGTTAAGGAGCTAAACTCGCCACGAGAGAGACGGGTCAAGAGGCAGATAGGCCGGATTCGACAACCTGGCTCATCTGTCGACAGCCCATCTACTCTCAGGGCCGCTTTTCTTAGTCATGACCCTGGTCTCTAACACGGCCAACTCAGACCCTGCTCTCTAACACGCCCAACTCAGACCCTGGTCTCTAACACGCCCAACTCAGACCCTACTCTCTAACACGCCCAACTCAGACCCTGCTCTCTAACACGCCCAACTCAGACCCTACTCTCTAACACGCCCAACTCAGACCCTGCTCTCTAACACGCCCAACTCAGACCCTGGTCTCTAACACGGCCAACTCAGACCCTGCTCTCTAACACGCCCAACTCAGACCCTGCTCTCTAACACGCCCAACTCAGACCCTACTCTCTAACACGCCCAACTCAGACCCTGGTCTCTAACACGCCCAACTCAGACCCTACTCTCTAACACGCCCAACTCAGACCCTGGTCTCTAACACGCCCAACTCAGACCCTACTCTCTAACACGCCCAACTCAGACCCTGGTCTCTAACACGGCCAACTCAGACCCTGCTCTCTAACACGCCCAACTCAGACCCTGCTCTCTAACACGCCCAACTCAGACCCTACTCTCTAACACGCCCAACTCAGACCCTGCTCTCTAACACGCCCAACTCAGACCCTGGTCTCTAACACGCCCAACTCAGACCCTACTCTCTAACACGCCCAACTCAGACCCTGGTCTCTAACACGCCCAACTCAGACCCTACTCTCTAACACGCCCAACTCAGACCCTACTCTCTAACACGCCCAACTCAGACCCTGGTCTCTAACACGGCCAACTCAGACCCTACTCTCTAACACGCCCAACTCAGACCCTGCTCTCTAACACGGCCAACTCAGACCCTGCTCTCTAACACGCCCAACTCAGACCCTACTCTCTAACACGCCCAACTCAGACCCTGCTCTCTAACACGGCCCTGGTCTCTAACACGCCCAACTCAGACCCTGCTCTCTAACACGGCCCTGCTCTCTAACACGGCCAACTCAGACCCTGGTCTCTCACATGGCCCAACTCAGACCCTACTCTCTAACACGCCCAACTCAGACCCTGGTCTCTAACACGGCCCTGGTCTCTCACACGGCCCAACTCAGACCCTACTCTCTAACACGCCCAACTCAGACCGTGCTCTCTAACACGACCCAACTCAGACCCTGGTCTCTAACACGGCCCTGCTCTCTAACACGGCCAACTCAGACCCTGGTCTCTAACACGACCCAACTCAGGCCCTGGTCTCTAACACGCCCAACTCAGACCGTGCTCTCTAACACGACCCAACTCAGACCCTGGTCTCTAACACGGCCCTGGTCTCTAACATGACCCAACTCAGGCCCTGGTCTCTAACACGGCCAACTCAGACCCTGGTCTCTAACACGGCCCTGGTCTCTAACACGACCCAACTCAGACCCTGGTCTCTAACACGACCCAACTCAGACCCTGGTCTCTAACACGACCCAACTCAGACCCTGGTCTCTCACACGGCCCAACTCAGACCCTGGTCTCTAACACGACCCAACTCAGACCGTGCTCTCTAACACGACCCAACTCAGACCCTGGTCTCTAACACGGCCCTGGTCTCTAACACGACCCAACTCAGGCCCTGGTCTCTAACACGGCCAACTCAGACCCTGGTCTCTAACACGGCCAACTCAGACCCTGGTCTCTAACACGGCCAACTCAGACCCTGGTCTCTAACACGCTCAACTCAGGCCCTGGTCTCTAACACGGCCAACTCAGACCCTGGTCTCTAACACGCTCAACTCAGGGCCCTGGTCTCTAACACAGCCAACTCAGACCCTGGTCTCTAACACGCTCAACTCAGGCCCTGGTCTCTAACACGCTCAACTCAGGCCCTGGTCTCTAACACGGCCAACTCAGACCCTGGTCTCTAACACGCTCAACTCAGGCCCTGGTCTCTAACACGGCCAACTCAGACCCTGGTCTCTAACACGCTCAACTCAGACCCTGGTCTCTAACACGCTCAACTCAGGGCCCTGGTCTCTAACACGGCCAACTCAGACCCTGGTCTCTAACACGGCCCTGGTCTCTAACACGACCCAACTCAGGCCCTGGTCTCTAACACGGCCAACTCAGACCCTGGTCTCTAACACGGCCAACTCAGACCCTGGTCTCTAACACGGCCAACTCAGACCGTGCTCTCTAACACGACCCAACTCAGACCCTGCTCTCTAACACGGCCAACTCAGACCCTGGTCTCTAACACGGCCAACTCAGACCCTGGTCTCTAACACGGCCAACTCAGACCGTGCTCTCTAACACGACCCAACTCAGGCCCTGGTCTCTAACACGGCCAACTCAGGCCCTGGTCTCTAACACGGCCCTGGTCTCTAACACGACCCAACTCAGACCCTGGTCTCTAACACGGCCAACTCAGACCCTGGTCTCTAACACGGCCAACTCAGACCCTGGTCTCTAACACGGCCCTGGTCTCTAACACGACCCAACTCAGACCCTGGTCTCTAACACGGCCAACTCAGACCCTGGTCTCTAACACGGCCAACTCAGACCCTGGTCTCTAACAGGGCCCTGGTCTCTAACACGACCCAACTCAGGCCCTGGTCTCTAACACGGCCAACTCAGACCCTGGTCTCTAACACGGCCAACTCAGACCCTGGTCTCTAACACGGCCAACTCAGACCGTGCTCTCTAACACGACCCAACTCAGACCCTGCTCTCTAACACGGCCAACTCAGACCCTGGTCTCTAACACGGCCAACTCAGACCGTGCTCTCTAACACGACCCAACTCAGGCCCTGGTCTCTAACACGGCCAACTCAGGCCCTGGTCTCTAACACGCCCAACTCAGACCCTGGTCTCTAACACGGCCCAACTCAGACCCTGGTCTCTAACACGCCCAACTCAGACCCTGGTCTCTAACACGCCCAACTCAGACCCTGGTCTCTAACACGCCCAACTCAGGCCCTGGTCTCTAACACGACCCAACTCAGACCCTGGTCTCTAACACGGCCCTGGTCTCTAACACGACCCAACTCAGACCCTGGTCTCTAACACGGCCAACTCAGACCCTGGTCTCTAACACGGCCCTGGTCTCTAACACGACCCAACTCAGACCCTGGTCTCTAACACGGCCAACTCAGACCCTGGTCTCTAACACGGCCAACTCAGGCCCTGGTCTCTAACACGGCCAACTCAGACCCTGGTCTCTAACACGGCCAACTCAGGCCCTGCTCTTTAACACGCCCAACTCAGACCCTGCTCTCTAACACGGCCCTGGTCTCTAACACGGCCAACTCAGACCCTGCTCTCTCACACGCCCAACTCAGACCCTGGTCTCTAACACGGCCAACTCAGACCCTGCTCTCTCACATGCCCAACTCAGACCCTGCTCTCTAACACGGCCCTGGTCTCTAACACGACCCAACTCAGGCCCTGCTCTCTAACACGGCCCAACTCAGACCCTGCTCTCTCACACGCCCAACTCAGACCCTGCTCTCTAACACGGCCCTGCTCTCTAACACGCCCAACTCAGACCCTGGTCTCTAACACGGCCCAACTCAGACCCTGGTCTCTAACACGGCCCTGGTCTCTAACACGACCCAACTCAGGCCCTGCTCTCTAACACGCCCAACTCAGGCTTGCACTGCTCATTTGCTTCCAAAGGTGTGTCGGTGAATGGCTTGGCCATGGCTTTGGGGCTGTTTCGGATCGTTTCAAATCCTGAGAGTGGCTGTGATCATTTTCATAGTCGGCTCTAATTTTAAGCGTGGCTTCTTTTGAGCCGGCTCGCTTGAGCCTGAGCCGAGCCGTGACCTAATAAACACGGCCCTCACGCCAGAGGGCAGCAGGTGAGACTAGGAAAGGAGGGGTAGGATCTCGTTGTGTAGAGAGGCAAGCAAGACTGCAACTCGGCTAGACTCTGCCCGAGGAAAGATGTGACATATATGTAAAAACCAAAATGACCCCCAACAATAAAAGGCTACGCGATTTGTGTGACTGGGCTAGGGCGTTTTGATGTCTAAGAAGGTTCGGGTTTTAAACTTGGTAGCACAGTAACCTTTTTTTACATCCACGTTGGTGCCTGTTGACTTCTGAAGCTTTGCAATGAATGTCTGGGACTAGCTCTAGTTCTTCTGTTGGATGTGAGAGAACTCTATGAAGTACTTTATCTTTAAAAACAAATCAAGTGCAGGCATGACTTTATATTCTTCAAAATGTGGGTTCATCTCCTACCTAAAATACGACACGGAAATGTTATTGTCAACGTCCTTTAGCATTCAAATACTTGTCCAAACAATATGGTATAAATGAAACAGCAGATGTGTTTACTGGACTAATTTTAAAGCTGTACTGTTAACGGAGGCCTAGTTGAACTTGGGACTAGCTAGTCTAGGGAGCCTCTGGGAAATGTTTCTGTACGTTTTAATTTGTGACTTTCGAAATTTTCTAGGAAAAGTTTTACTTTTTTTCTGACTTTGCGATCGCTATAACGACTAAGTTGTTGAAGTTGTGGCAGACTGGCGGAGCCAACTTTCAGAAAGGGGGCGGCCTTAACCACGCAGGCGCTTGAGGCGCCCTTTGTCATTCGGCGTTTTTGCCACCCGACCTGCTTTTGCCACGACCCATCTCGTTGTTTTGAGGGAGGTAACAGCAACTCTGTTACCCCCAAGGGAATTGCCGAAGTCTTCACGGACCATTAAAAGTCCGGTGGTTTTGTCATTTGCCCGGTTAGCGATGATGATGATGATACATGACTGAAGACGATGCATTAATACGCAGTTCTACTCTCCTCTGGTATCGAGAGATTCTAGATCTGACCATGATGATGTTCCAGACGACTCTTTTGTTAGTCTGGGAGGGGATCAAAAAAACTATCAGTGGGTAGAACGCCCTGGTCCCTTTGCAGGGTCCTGAGGAGAAATTCTTTTGGAGATGACAGTAAGAAGAGAGAAATGACACGAGAGAGATTCTTTTTTATTGAGGTGATTTTTAAATGCGACCAAAAATGTAGAGATGAGAGAGGATGACTGAAGAGACGTAGATGATGATGTGGAGATGTTTCGTGTGAGGATAAGAGAGGACATGAAATCGTTACGCGTGTTTTGGCTTTGACCGGAACACCGTCAAGGCTACCATTAAAAGGGCCCCCAGTGGGTCGTTGAAAGTGACCGCCCTGGTAGCCAATGGTGGGAAAAGCGCATGGAGTAGGGGAACGTCCGCTGCGGAGATGGAGAAGCGAAATCTGCTCCGCGCGCAGGATCGACAGGGACGGGGTTTTTTTAGTTGCGTGACAGCGGGAGATGGCGGTGGCGACGATGCCTTTTTTTTTGGGGGGGGGGGCTTCATCCAGCAGTGACTCGATGATGGCCGCTGATTTTTTTAGAAAATGTATTGATTTTATTTTGGAGTAAACGTGAGGATTGGATCATCGCGTGCTCGTGAATTTGGCGCAGCGCGGTTCAGGAGATTGTCTTTACACCCCGGCGGGCTTGACACGTGTGCAGGTTTTATACGTTTCTCTGTGTGTGAACTATAGGTGATGGTGTGATGGTGAAAATCTCAACTTTTTAAGGATGCTTTGAAGCCTGTAATGCCCAAACCTTTAGGATGTATTTGAAGGATTCGTTATTTTAGCCCAGATGTGTCGACATTTTCTGAGGATTCTTTAAACCCCGTATTGGACTCGAATTGGGTTTTTTTTTCACGATTTTTTTTCTCACCTTGCATTAGGCTCGAATGTTTGAAATATTGTTCTAAAAGTTACACGACAAAAAATACCCCCCCCCCCCCCCTGAAAAAGGGGTTTTCCCTTTACGTCAACCGGGGCACCGCGTTAATTGGGGGGGGGGGAGGTTATTTTGTCCACCAACTCTCTTCCTCGCTGGATGGACGCCTCAGAAGAGAGGCTCGCGTTAGCCCCACTTGACCCCACCGTCCCCACACACTACCTGGCGTTCACCTGTGTGTGTGTGTTACTGTTCCTGCCCCTTCCTAACCACCACCCACCCCCCCCACCACCACCCTCATATTTTCTCGTCTTTATTTGCGGCATGCTGGCATAGATGTTTTTCTTGATAGATGTTTTTAAATCGAATTTTTAAGGTAGATTTCTTTTAAAACGATAGATTTTTTTTTTCTTCCGTAGAATGTTTCTAGTTTTGGTGTTCTTTTTATATGCCCCGTTTTCACGTTTGTAGTACGAACAACCAAATAAATATACTTTTAAAGGTAACAACAAAAATCAACGCGTCGTTTGTACAACGGTGGAATTTTGTCATTTAAAATATTCGCAGCGTGTGTGTACCAGGAGTGGTGGCGCCGCGGTTAGCGCTACGCTGCACCACAAACCCGGCGACCCGAGTTCGATTCCCGCTCACGGCCACCAACACCGGTGACGATTATCTGAACCCGGTCCTGGGTCTCCCCTAGGTCGACTCGGCCTCAAATGCGTTTGTAAACATCGCCACTGTGGAGTGACAAAGGCGGCCGGGCGTGGCGCTGGCCACCCACCCCCTCGTGTGCCACACGGTGCCGGCAGCCTTCATAGGTGCTACTCGCTCACAGCACTTGCCCCAACATTCTGTCGCTCTGCGGGGGGAGGGTGGGATCGTGTGTGTTGTTGAACTTCTTTCGCACCGCACAGAGCCAACCGTGGTCATCGGAGGTAGGAGGAATGGATACAAATCAAAATTCACCCGTAAACCAGTTTTTCACTAAATCCTTTATATGCGTGGCGGCTAGAGTCCTCTCGTCCTCTGGCTTGAGATGGCTGCCACCTATGGGTCAGATGATTGCCTGCCACCATTAAGCAATTGGTAATTACATATAATTTTTGTTCCTAAAAAGTGTTAATGTCAGCTCGATTGGATCACGGGAAGTGGGTTAAAAACGACCGAAAGATTTGCACGGTCGTAAGCGCGCAAGCAAGCGAACTTAATATAAAGGATTTAAATAAAAAACGACCGAAAGATTTGCACGGTCGTAAGCGCGCAAGCAAGTGAACTTAATATAAACGATTTAACAACAAAGGTTAATATGGTCGCGAAAGCTTTTGCTTGCGTGTTAAACAAAACATTAAAATAATATCACCAATTTTAGTGGCTCCATTGGGATGGCCGCAACAGCAACTTCCATTCGCCACGAAGTGGTGGGGACGTCACCACGGCGCTTGTGCCAGACTATGTGCATGTGAGATCTCGCACACAACCATCACCCCCCCCCACTCCACCCTACTGGCAGACTGATGCCAATAAACTATTTTAATTGCACCAGGTAAAGCCCCACTCGGCTAAGGTAGCTGCTTTTCAGAAGCGAATGATAGTTCGACGAAGTGGCTCATGTAGAAAACGTGTAGCTGCCAAGTACTCTAAACGTGAAGCTAAATGTGGAGGGGAAAAATTGGAGGACCCGGAGGAAAACACATCTACGCGACCACGGGGAGAGAGACAGATTCCAAATATACAGCAGCAGCAGGCGTCAGGGTCGATCAAACCCACGACCTCCTGCATACCAGGCGAGGTAGTCAACATCTCCTATTCACCGTGATGATGATGATGAGAGAGACGCAGACTCCTAATTTCCAGCAGGCATCGTCAGGGTCGGGATCGAACCCACGACCTCCTGTACACCAGGCGAGGTAGTTAACATCTCCTGGCCACCGTGATGATGAGAGCGAGAGAGACTCCAAATATACAGCAGGTTTCGTCAGGGTTGGGATCAAACCCACGACCTCCTGCATACCAGGCGAGCTGATTAATAACAATTAAAATGTATAATTGCGCATACCACCCTAGAATTCCCAATACGTAGTGCACGAAAATCAGGAAACTTACAACCAGGAGGGGTACCCAACCAAAGGACGGAGGGAAGGGCGTGTTGACGAGATGGGGTTTCAGACTTCAAAGCAGGGGGCTTCAAATAAAAATGCATTTGACGCTTCTGAGAATTTGCAACCACGCCACGAGAAATGTTGCTGCCTCTGGGCTCTGGAGACCACCACCTGTAGAAGATTCCAGGCCACGTGTTGACAACGATGGCGAACACGTGCGAGAGACTCTCTGACTTTCTGAAGCTACTGACATCACATTTTTGATCACGTCACACTGTCGTTATCCGTTTCTGTTTCCATTAAACACGTTCCTTCGGAGTGGGCAGGTAGGAACTTGGTTGGACGGCGCATTCGTGCACGACAGACGGACAAATACTCCCTGGTGGGCAGTGTGGAACCTGTTGTTCTTACCTGTGTACAAGATCACGTGACTTTAGGGAGCCAGGCAGCCCCTTAGGCCCCTCCCTGACCACCCCCCCATATCCTTAGGCCCCTCCCCTGATCCCCCCCCCCTCAGGCCCCTCCCCTGACTCCCCCCTCCCTTAGGCCCCTCCCCTCTCCGTACCCGGCAGGAGGTCTCCACCAATCAAAGAGCTGTTTATATTGTATATATATTTATGCACGACAGATAGTCAGACAGACAAATAATCCCCGGTGGGCAGTGTGGAACATTGTTCCTACCTGTCTAACGACAGTCCCATGTGAGCGCTAACGTTTTTTTTCAAAGCTCCCTGCACACCCACAGACTCCCCCCGCCTGATTTCAAGTGGCAAGGGGCGATCCACAGCCCCGGCACCGGAACGCACGCGGCACCGGGAAGACCCCTCACCCCACCAGGACCCCACCGGGACCCCACCAGGACCCCACCGGGAAGACCCCTCACCCCACCAGGACCCCACCGGGACCCCACCAGGACCCCACCGGGAAGACCCCTCACCCCACCAGGACCCCACCGGGACCCCACCAGGACCCCACCGGGAAGACCCCTCACCCCACCGGGACCCCACCAGGACCCCACCGGGAAGACCCCTCACCCCACCGAGACCCCAACGAGACCTCACCGAGACCCCACCAGGAAGACCCCTCACCCCACCGAGACCTCACCAGGACCCCTCACCCCACCAGGACCTCACCAGGAAGACCCCTCACCCCACCGAGACCTCACCGAGACTCCTTCAATCCCCCCCCGCGAACCACTCCGCAATGTCCCCCCTCGCCGCCCCCCCCTCCACCGCCGCCCCCCCCGCTCCTCCCGAGTCTCCGGCACACGGCGCACAGCCGCTCGTCCCAGCCGCGCGCGCTCCGCGCCCGGTAGCGCCGCCGCCACGCGTGCATGCGCCCGTACGCCGCCCCGTCGGCCGCCAGCGCCCGCAGGCGAAGCGCCAGCTCGCGGGGCGACGCGAAGTCGTCCACGTGCAGGAAGGCGGCGGGCGGCAGCGTCGCCCTCTCGTAGTCGCCCCGCGGGGGCCCCAGGGCGACGGGCACGGCGGCCGCCGAGCCGAGGGCGTTGGCCCACAGCTTCTCGGTGACGTAGTGGCGGGAGCGCGCGTTCTCGAAGGCGAGGTAGAAGAGGTAGCGAGAGAGGACCGGGGCCGTACCCCCCGCCGCCGCGGGGAGTTGGGGCAGGGCCGTGCGCCCGGCGCCGCGGCCGTACACGGCCACGCGCAGGTGGAGCGCCAGCTCGCGGTGGTAGGCGTCGCGGCCAGACGCGGCGCCCCCGTGGGACACGGCCCAGGCCACCAGCTCGCTCTTGCTGGGGGGGGGAGGGGAGGGGGTGGTGGTGGAGATGGTGAAGGTGGAGGTGGGATTGATGTTGGTGGTGGTGGTGGTGGTGGGGTTGATGTTTGTGGTGGTGGAGGTGGTGGCAGTGGTGGTGGTGAGGTTGATGTTGGTGGTGGGGTTATTGTTGGTGGTGGTAGTGGTGGAGATGGTGGTGGTGAAGGTGGTGGGGTTGATGTTGGTGGTGGTGGTGGTGGTGGGGTTGATGGTGGTGGTGGTGGGGTTGATGGTGGTGGTGGTGGTGGAGATGGTGGTGGTGGTGGTGAAGGTGGTGGGGTTGATGGTGGTGGAGGTGGTGGGGTTGATGTTGGTGGTGGTGGTGGTGGGGTTGATGGTGGTGGTGGTGGAGATGGTGGTGGTGGTGAAGGTGGTGGGGTTGATGGTGGTGGAGGTGGTGGTGGCGGTGGTGGTGGTGGGGTTGTTGGTGGTGGTGGTGGTGGTGGGGTTGTTGGTGGTGGTGGCGGTGGTGGGGTTGATGGTGGTGGTGGTGGTGGAGGTGGTGGTGGTGGGGTTGTTGGTGGTGGTGGCGGTGGAGGTGGTGGTGGTGGGGTTGTTGGTGGTGGTGGTGGAGGTGGTGGTAGTGGTGGAGATGGTGGTGGTGGTGGTGGCAGTGGTGGTGAGGTTGATGGTGGTGGTGGTGGTGGCAGTGGAGATGGGTGGTGGCAGTAGTGGGGTTATTGTTGGTGGTGGAGGTGGTGGAGGTGGTGGAGGAGGTGGTGGTGGAGGTGGTGGTGTTGATGTTGATGTTGGTGGTGCGGTCCACCTACCCGGAGCAGGCGTAGGCGCTGAGGTTGGTGGCTCGTGCCGATTTGAGGGCGGAGCCACACGGAGGCTCCCCCCCCTCCTCACCCTCCTCCCGGGGCTCCAGCCATCCGTACGGGGTGGGGACATCCGAATCCGGCCTGCAAAGTGTGTGGACTAATCTCCATCTGTTCCATCTCACTCCCTTCTACCCATGGGTGGACTAATCTCCATCTGTTCCATCTCACTCCCTTCTACCCCGTGTGTGTGGACTAATCTCCATCTGTTCCATCTCACTCCCTTCTACACCGTGTGTGGACTAATCTCCATCTGTTCCATCTGACTCCCTTCTACGCGCGTGTGTGAACCAATCTCCATCTGTTCTATCTCACTCTCTTCTACACCGTGTGTGGACTAATCTCCATCTGTTCCATCTCACTCCCTTCTACACCGTGTGTGGACTAATCTCCATCTGTTCCATCTCACTCCCTTCTACACCGTGTGTGGACTAATCTCCATCTGTTCCATCCGTATGGCAGAGCGTGATCTCTCTCCCCCCACTGCCTCGCACACGTGGGCTGTCTCACACGTAAACAGACTTGATTCCTCGCAAAAACTATAATCCATAGAGAGTGTTTGAACGTCCAGAAAGGGTACGCAACCTGATTCTTATTCGTCACACTATGATGCTGGCAACAACAACAAAAGGTTTCCCATGACACTCATCATCAGTCGGCCTACACAACGCCTTCATACCATACAGGATCGCAGAGCTTGGAGAAATGTGTTGGTGGTGTCCAGCTCATCGCCACGTGGCGGTTGCTGCTGATCACGTGTTGCTGATCACGTGCTGCTGATCACGTGCTGCTGCTCCTCCTCTTGGAGCCTCTGAGTGGTCCCCTGTGTGTGCACCTGTGTGTGTGTGTGTAGCTGTGTGTGTGTGTCTGTGTGTGTGTGCACCTGTGTGTGTAGCTGTGTGTGTGTAGCTGTGTGTGTGTAGCTGTGTGTGTGTAGCTGTGTGTAGCTATGTGTGTGTGTATATGTCTGTGTGTGTGTGTGTCTATGTGTGTGTGTGTACCTGTAGGTGAGTGTGTGTGTGTACCTGCAGGTGTGTGTGTGTCTGTGTGTGTGTACCTGTGTGTGTGTGTACCTGTAGGTGAGTGTGTGTGTGTACCTGTAGGTGTGTGTGTACCTGTGTGTGTGTACCTGTGTGTGTGTGTACCTGTGTGTGTGTGTACCTGTAGGTGAGTGTGTGTCTGTGTGTGTGTACCTGTGTGTGTGTGTGTACCTGTAGGTGAGTGTAGCTGTGTGTGTGTGTGTACCTGTAGGTGAGTGTAGCTGTGTGTGTGTGTGTGTACCTGTAGGTGAGTGTCTGTGTGTACCTGTAGGTGAGTGTACCTGTAAGTGTGTGTGTGTGTCTGTGTGTGTGTGTGTACCTGTAGGTGAGTGAGTGTGTGTACATGTAGGTGAGTGTAGCTGTGTGTGTGTGTGTGTACCTGTAGGTGAGTGTGTGTGTCTGTGTGTGTGTGTGTACCTGTAGGTGAGTGTAGCTGTGTGTGTGTGTCTGTGTGTCTGTGTGTGTGTGTACCTGTAGGTGAGTGTCTGTGTGTACCTGTAGGTGAGTGTGTGTCTGTGTGTGTGTGTACCTGTAGGTGAGTGTCCAGTTGAAGACCGTGTGGAGACCTCTGGGCAGGTGAGCATAGGGAGGAGGCTCCATGCAGCCCCACACCCAGATCTGGCCCGGAGGCCGTTTCCTGTCTCCATCAACATCACCATCAACATCACCATCACCAGCAACATCACCATCAACATCACCATCAACATCACCAACAACATCACCAACAACATCACCAACAACATCACCAACAACATCAGCAACAACATCACCATCAGCATCAACATCACCATCAGCATCTCCAACATGAGGCAGCTGGCTCGGCGATGGGACAGCCGTATCAGCTGAAGGCAGTCTCATGAGTGGGCCGTCAGCTGTGTCTGTGTGTGTGTCTGTGTGTGTGTAGCTGTGTGTGTAGCTGTGTGTGTGTGTGTGTCTGTGTGTGTGTCTGTGTGTGTGCGTCTGTGTGTGTGTCTGTGTGTGTGTCTGTGTGTGTGTAGCTGTGTGTGTGTCTGTGTATGTGTAGCTGTGTGTGTACCTGTGTGTGTGGATACCTGTGTGTCTGTGTGTGTGTCTCTGTGTGTGTACCTGTGTGTGTGCACCTGTGTGTGTGTGTGTGTCTGTGTGTTGTGTGTGTCTGTGTGTGTGGATACCTGTGTGTGTGTTAGCTGTGTGTGTGCACCTGTGTGTGTGTCTGTGTGTGTGTTTGTGTGTTGTGTGTGTGTGTACCTGTATGTGTGTGTCTGTGTGTGTGTACCTATGTGTGTCTGTGTGTGTGTCTGTGTGTTGTGTGTAAGACAGACGGACCCGTGTGGGAGGTTGGCCAGGTCACGGCGCACGTGTCTGTGTGTCTGTCTGTGTGTGTGTGTAGCTGTGTGTGTGTAGCTACCTGTGTGTGTCTGTGTGTGTGTCTGTGTGTGTGTCTGTGTGTGTCTGTGTGTGTGTCTGTGTGTGAGAGAGAGACGCACCCGAGTGGGAGGTTGGCCAGGTCACGGCGCACGTGTCTGTGTGTGTGTGTAGCTATCTGTGTGTGTGTGTGACTGTGTGTCTGTGTGTGTCAGTGTGTGTGTCTGTGTGTGAGAGACGCACCCGAGTGGGAGGTTGGCCAGGTCACGGCGCACGTGTCTGTGCAGGAAGACGACCGCGTCAGCCGAGGGGAGGAGACGCGCGCGTCCTGGGACAGGAGACAGCGCGGGGACACGCCGAGACACTCGTCACCCCGCAGGGGACTCGCTCCTGGCAGACGACGCGGGGAGACACACGGGGTGAGACACACGGGGAGAGACACGGGGAGAGACACGGGGTGAGACACGGGGAGAGACACGGGGAGAGACACGGGGAGACACACGGGGAGAGACACGGAGAGAGACACGGGGAGACACGGGGAGACACACGGGGTGACACACGGGGAGAGACACGGAGAGACACACGGGGTGAGACACACGGGGTGAGACACGGGGTGAGACACACGGGGTGAGACACGCGGGGTGAGACACGGGGTGAGACACGGGGAGAGACAGGGGGGGGGTGAGACACGGGGAGAGACACGGGGTGAGACACGGGGAAAGAGACACGGGGAGAGACGCGGGGAGACACGGGGAGAGACACGGGGTGAGACACGGGGAGAGACACGGGGTGAGACGCGGGGAGACACGCGGGGGGAGACACACGGGGAGACACACGGGGAGAGACACGGGGTGAGACGCGGGGAGAGACACGGGGTGAGACGCGGGGAGACACGGGGAGAGACGCGGGGAGAGACACGGGGTGAGACACGGGGAGACACGGGGAGACACGGGGAGACACACGGGGTGAGACACGGGGAGAGACACGGAGAGACACACGGGGTGAGACACACGGGGTGAGACACACGGGGTGAGACACGGGGAGAGACACGGAGAGACACACGGGGTGAGACACGGGGAGAGACACGGAGAGACACACGGGGTGAGACACGGGTGAGACACACGGGGTGAGACACACGGGGTGAGACACGGGGTGAGACACGGGGAGAGACACGGGGTGAGACACGCGGGGTGAGACACGGGGAGAGACACGGGGAGAGACAGGGGGGGTGAGACACGGGGAGAGACAGGGGGGGTGAGACAGGGGTGAGACAGGGGGGGTGAGACACGGGGTGAGACACGGGGAGAGACAGGGGGTGAGACACGGGGTGAGACACGGGGAGAGACACGGGAGAGACAGGGGGGGGGGTGAGACACGGGGAGAGACAGGGGGGGGTGAGACACGAGGTGAGACAGGGGGGTGAGACACGGGGTGAGACACGGGGAGAGACAGGGGGTGAGACACGGGGTGAGACACGGGGAGAGACACGGGGTGAGACACGGGGAGAGACAGGGGGGGGACACGGGGTGAGACACACGGGGTGAGACACGGGGTGAGACACACGGGGTGAGACACGGGGTGAGACACGGGGAGAGACACGGGGTGAGACACGCGGGGTGAGACACGGGGAGAGACACGGGGAGAGACAGGGGGGGGTGAGACACGGGGAGAGACAGGGGGGGGTGAGACACGGGGTGAGACAGGGAGGGTGAGACACGGGGTGAGACACGGGGAGAGACAGGGGGTGAAACACGGGGTGAGACACGGGGAGAGACACGGGGAGAGACAGGGGGGGGTGAGACACGGGGAGAGACAGGGGGGGTGAGACACGGGGTGAGACAGGGGTAGGGGGGTGAGACACGGGGTGAGACACGGGGAGAGACAGGGGGTGAGACACGGGGTGAGACACGGGAGAGACACGGGGAGAGACACGGGGTGAGACACGGGGTGAGACACGGGGAGAGACAGGGGGGGGTGAGACACACGGGGTGAGACACACGGGGTGAGACACGGGGTGAGACACACGGGGTGAGACACGGGGAGAGACAGGGGGGGTGAGACACGGGGTGAGACAGGGGGGGTGAGACACGGGGTGAGACACGGGGAGAGACAGGGGGTGAGACACGGGGTGAGACACGGGGAGAGACACGGGGTGAGACACGGGGAGAGACAGGGGGGGTGAGACACGGGGAGAGACGGGGGGGGTGAGACACGGGGTGAGACACGGGATGAGACACGGGGAGAGACGGGGGGGGTGAGACACGGGGGGGGTGAGACACGGGATGAGACGCGGGGAGAGACAGGGGGGGTGAGACACGGGGGGGTGAGACGCGGGATGAGACGCGGGGAGAGACAGGGGGGGTGAGACACGGGGGGGTGAGACACGGGGTGAGACGCGGGGAGAGACAGGGGGGGTGGAGACACGGGGGGGTGAGACACGGTGGTGAGACGCGGGGAGAGACAGGGGGGGTGAGACACGGGGGGGTGAGACACGGGGTGAGACGCGGGGAGAGACAGGGGGGTGAGACACGGGATGAGACGCGGGGAGAGACAGGGGGGGTGAGACACGGGGGGGTGAGACACGGGGTGAGACGCGGGGAGAGACAGGGGGGGGTGAGACACGGGGGGGTGAGACACGGGGTGAGACGCGGGGAGAGACAGGGGAGGTGAGACACGGGGGGGTGAGACACGGGGTGAGACGCGGGGTGAGACACGGGGGGGTGAGACACGGGATGAGATGCGGGGAGAGACAGGGGGGGTGAGACACGGGGGGGTGAGACACGGGGTGAGACGCGGGGAGAAGACCAGGGGGGTGAGACACGGGATGAGACGCGGGGAGAGACAGGGGGGGGTGAGACACGGGGTGAGACGCGGGGAGAGACAGGGGGGGTGAGACACGGGGGGGTGAGACACGGGGTGAGACGCGGGGTGAGACACGGAGGGGTGAGACACGGGATGAGACGCGGGGAGAGACAGGGGGGGTGAGACACGGGGGGGTGAGACACGGGGTGAGACGCGGGGAGAGACAGGGGGGGTGAGACACGGGGGGGTGAGACACGGGTGAGACGCGGGGAGAGACAGGGGGGGTGAGACACGGGATGAGACGCGGGGAGAGACAGGGGGGTGAGACACGGGGGGGTGAGACACGGGGGGGTGAGACACGGGGTGAGACGCGGGGAGAGACAGGGGAGGTGAGACACGGGGGGGGTGAGACACGGGGTGAGACGCGGGGTGAGACACGGGGGGGTGAGACACGGGATGAGACGCGGGGAGAGACAGGGGGGGTGAGACACGGGGGGGTGAGACACGGGTGAGACGCGGGGAGAGACAGGGGGGGTGAGACACGGGATGAGAGGGGGGGGTGAGACACGGGGTGAGACGCGGGGAGAGACAGGGGGGGTGAGACACGGGATGAGACGCGGGGAGAGACAGGGGGGGTGAGACACGGGGTGAGACGCGGGGAGAGACAGGGGGGGTGAGACACGGGATGAGACGCGGGGAGAGGACAGGGGGGGGTGAGACACGGGATGAGACGCGGGGAGAGACAGGGGGGGTGAGACACGGGGTGAGACGCGGGGAGAGACAGGGGGGGTGAGACAGGGGGTGAGACAGGGGGGGTGAGACACGGGGTGAGACACGGGGAGAGACAGGGGGGGTGAGACACGGGGTGAGACGCGGGGAGAGACAGGGGGGGTGAGACACGGGGTGAGACGCGGGGAGAGACAGGGGGGGTGAGACACGGGATGAGACGCGGGGAGAGACAGGGGGGGTGAGACACGGGATGAGACGCGGGGAGAGACAGGGGGGGTGAGACACGGGGTGAGACGCGGGGAGAGACAGGGGGGGTGAGACACGGGGTGAGACGCGGGGAGAGACAGGGGGGGTGAGACACAGGGTGAGACACGGGGAGAGACAGGGGGGGTGAGACACGGGGTGAGACGCGGGGAGAGACAGGGGGGGTGAGACACGGGGTGAGACGCGGGGAGAGACAGGGGGGGTGAGACACGGGGTGAGACGCGGGGAGAGACAGGGGGGGTGAGACACGGGGTGAGACGCGGGGAGAGACAGGGGGGTGAGACACGGGATGAGACAGGGGGAGAGACAGGGGGGGTGAGACACGGGGTAAGACGCGGGGAGACACACGGGGAGACACGCGGGGTGAGACACGGGGAGAGACACGGGGAGACACACGGGGTGAGACAGGGGGGGTGAGACACGTGGTGAGACACGGGGGGACACGCCGAGACGTCACATTTCTCAACCCCCCCCCCCTCGTCACACATCGTCACAAATGTCTGACCCCCCCCCTAGGTGCGTGACGTCATTTATGGACGATCCCGTTAGAGGAGAACGCTGAGACTGCAACTGATCTCACCCTTTGTAAATGGCCACCTCCACGCCAACACCGTTAAGTTTCTGCTGCTGCTGTTGTTGTTGTTGCTGTTGTTGTTGTAGTAGCTGCTGCTGCTGCTGACCACGTGTTGGTGGTCACGTGGGCCTTGTGACGTTGCCCGCGGTCGTCCCGCGTGACGTCGGCCATTGTGAGCAGCGCCTGCAAGGCGGCAGGGTGGCGGTGCGGGGGGGAGCCAGGGTTGGTGGGACACGGGGAGATGGGGCGAGCGAGCGAGTCTGTGCGCGTGCGAGGGTGTGTGCCTGGCGGTGGGCGAGCGGCTTAAATAGACGCTCCAAGCCTGGGGGGTTTCATTCAGACGCTGTCTTTCCGACAGCCCTGTTCTTCACCTGAGGACGGCTGCTTGCGTTGTGGCCGAAACGTCGTGAGAATTGTATTTTATGATGTTTAATTTGTATTATTTTATTATTTCCCTTCTACGTGACTTTACCGAAAGAACCAAGAAGATGAATCCCTGCAGTCACGAAATCTTTAAATCGAAATATAATATTTTATTATAATAAAATAATACAAATTAAACATCATATTTTAAAACCTAATAAAAATAATATTTTATTATGTTTTATTTTTATTATTTTATTATTTCCCTTCTACGTGACTTTACCGAAAGAACCAAGAAGATGAATCTCTGCAGTCACGAAAGCTTTAAATCGAAATTTCTAAAAAAATGTTGTGGTTTCACGCTTCAACACACCGGTGGGCTAAAGCAGCGAACTATTTTGTCTTTTGTCAACGTGACACTTTTTTACTGATTGGCCGTGTCGGGTGGTGGAGGGTTACGACACATTTATAAATAACGCGATCTAAACCCAAAAACGTTGATTATGAGTAATATTGGTCGCGAACACACGTGTTATACAGTCTGTTACGGGCTACACGAGGGATCCTGTGATGCCATCCGCAAGAGTTTGGCCATCGTGCGCCGGCCGGCGTCACGGTTCCACATTTCTTAGATGACAGCTCCTGGCAGGCCAACACACAGGGCCAGCTGCCACGGGGGGTGCCCCTAGGCTAGACCACACAGTAGCAGCATTCTCACCACAACTCGCTCACTGATGACCCCCCCACCCCCCACCCCCCCAAGGTCACTCTTGCAAACGAGACTCCTCAACCCTGGTCCCTCTCTCGAGTCCTGGTGCTGGTGTGGTGGTGGTGCTAGTGGTGGTGGTGTGGTGGTGCTGGTGGTGGTGGTGTGGTGGTGTGTGTGGTGGTGGTGGTGCTGGTGGTGGTGCTGGTGGTGTGGTAGTGGTGCTGGTGGTGGTGGTGTGGTAGTGGTCCTGGTGGTGGTGTGGTGGTGGTGTGGTGGTGGTGTGGTGGTGGTGCTGGTGGTGTGGTAGTGGTGCTGGTGGTGGTGGTGTGGTAGTGGTCCTGGTGGTGGTGTGGTGGTGGTGTGGTGGTGGTGTGGTGGTGGTGCTGGTGGTGTGGTAGTGGTGCTGGTGGTGGTGGTGTGGTAGTGGTCCTGGTGGTGGTGTGGTGGTGGTGTGGTGGTGGTGTGGTGGTGGTGCTGGTGGTGTGGTAGTGGTGCTGGTGGTGGTGGTGTGGTAGTGGTCCTGGTGGTGGTGTGGTGGTGGTGTGGTGGTGGTGTGGTGGTGGTGCTGGTGGTGCTGGTGGTGTGGTAGTGGTGCTGGTGGTGGTGGTGTGGTAGTGGTGCTGGTGGTGGTGTGGTGGTGGTGTGGTGATGGTGGTGGTGAGAAGCTGGTGGTGATGTGGTAGTGGTGGCGGTGGTGGTGTGGTAGTGGGGGTGGTGGTAGTGGTGTGGTGGAGCTGGTGGTGGTGGTATGATGTTGGTGTCACGACGTGGCCTGGTTGTGACTTGCTGCTGCTGGTGGAGTGTGGAGTGAAGACGATGCCGAAGAGGATGACGACGACTCCGCAGGAGACCCAGGCCACAGCGCACAGCCACAGCCAGAGCCTCGTGCGGCGCAGCGAGGGCACGGCGCAACCAACTCTACAGAGTGCGCAGAGACGCAGAGGGTCAGAGGGTCAGAGGGGCAGAGGGTCAGAGAGAGAGAGACGCAGACTTGTGTGTGAGTAGGGGGGGTGAGTGGGTGGGTGAGTGACGAGATGGGTGAGTGGTTGGGTGAGTCGGTTAGTAGGTGGGTGAGTGCGTCGGTTAGTAGGTGAGTGGGTGCGTGAATGGGTGGGTGGAAAGGTGGGTGGGTGATCGAATGAATGAGTGAGTGAATGAGTGAATGGGTGATTGAATAGGTCAGCGGATGTACACGCGAATCGATGGGTTGACGGGTGGGTAGAGTCGGTGAATGAGTGAATGAATGAGTGAGTGAATGAGTAAGTGAATGAGTGAGTTAATGAGTGAATGAAGGGTGACTGAGTGAATGAGTGAGTGAATGAGTGAGTGAATGAGTGAGTTAATGAGTGAATGAATGGGTGACTGAGTGAATGAGTAAATGAGTGAATGAGTAAGTGAATGAATGAGTGAATGAGTGAGTGAATGAGTGAGTGAATGAGTGAGTGAGTGAATGAGTAAGTGAGTGAATGAGTGGGCGTGTGAGCGATGTGGATGGGTGAGAGTGAATCGGCGAGTGGGTGAATGGGTTGGTGTGTGAGCGCCCGAAACGTCGTGATTTAATTTATTTTTTTATTTTATACCCACGTGACTTTACCGAAAGATTAGTGTGTGAAAGTGTTGGATGTACGCGGGTCATTGTTAGTGAGTTGGCGGGTAATGTATTTATAGAAGTAACAAAATAATTATATTATATTTTATTTTTATTATTTTATTACTTCCCTTCTACGCGACTTTACCGAAAGAACCAAGAAGATGAATCCCTGCAGTCACGAAAGCTTTAAATCGAAATTTAATGTATTTATAGTTTAAAAAAACACACAAGCGATTTGACTGAATGTACTAACCTGAAGGCTTTCATGGCTGGTTGAACACGCACTCGGGGTGTGTCTGTGAGAGCTCAGAATTGACGGGGGGTGAAACTTCCGCGATTTCATCAAATTCCCCAAATCTCACGGTTCCAAACCCAAGCCGCTCAAACCCCAAAACCACAAAGCCTCCCACCACGCGCCCCCCCCCCTCTCTCTGTCTCTCACCCCCTTCCAGAAATCACACTTTGGTATTGCCCGCGCTCTAATCAACGGAGTCAACGGACATCGGCTCCCCGCTATGGGACTGTACCATTAACAAAATACGAGACAAGAGGGGGGGTTTACAAATATATATTTTTTATATTTTTTTTTAATCGAATATTTTTTTTGCAATGAATTGCTCGCGGTAAAAATACTGCATTAAGCAAAAAATGATAATCACTCAAAAACTGTAACTAGCCAAAACTAAATAATTAATATCCAGATCGATCAACTCTGTCTCTAATCAAACGTTCTGCTCTGTCTCTCTCAGTGTCAATCATCATCACCAAGGTCGACGCGATGATGATGATGATGTCTCTACCCTGTGTGTGTTCTCTACTGCGCGTGTTCCTCTTTATGCCAGTGCCGTATCGAATGGAAGAGTCCAATAAGTTCCCTTGGCACGATGCACTCCCCCCCCCCCTCCCATAATTGTCAACGAATGGTTTCGTCCGCGTTCCCGTTATCTTTAGAGGACACATGGCACGACCCCCCCCCCCCCCCACTTTACTCAGACAATGGTTTGGTCCGAACAGCGACCTTATCCGATGCAGACGCAATAAGAGCTTGCATGTGACTCAGTGAGCCTCGATGATTAACACAGGGCCCTAAGGATCTATGGCTCAGTGAGCCTCAGTCATTGACACTGGGCCCTAATGATCTTAAGGGTGCCTTCGCCTGGCTCAGTGAGTCTCAGTCATTGACACTGGGCCCTAAGGATCTTAAGGGTGCCTTCGCCTGGCTCAGTGAGCCTCAGTCATTAACACTGGGCCCTAATGATCTTAAGGGTACCTTAGCCTGGCTCAATGAGCCTCAAGCATTAACACCGGGCCCTAAGGATCTTAAGGGTGCCTTCGCCTGGCTCAGTGAGCCTCAGTCATTAACACTGGGCCCTAAGGATCTTAAGGGTGCCTTAGCCTGGCTCAGTAAGTCTCAAACATTAACACTGGGCCCTAAGCATCTTAAGGGTGCCTTCGCCTGGCTCAGTGAGCCTCAGTCATTAACACTGGGCCCTAAGGATCTTAAGGGTGCCTTAGCCTGGCTCAGTAAGTCTCAAGCATTAACACTGGGCCCTAAGTATCTTAAGGATGCCTTAGCCTGGCTCAGTGAGCCTCAGTCATTAACACTGGGACCTAATGATCTTAAGGGTGCCTTAGCCTGGCTCAGTGAGCCTCAGTCATTGACGATGGGCACCAGGAATTTCCAGGGTGTCTGAGAGCGCCTCCACGATCCTCTGGAACTGACACCCTTTGAGTCTGTCCCGACGAGTGTCTAGGCGCGACGCTGGACCCTTTGAAGCGTGACTCTCATTACAGAGTCGCGCATCAACGAGTGCTACGACTTCTTTGTCTTTGCTGCCCACAACGGAGGCCCTTCCCCCCCCAAAGCAGACGAACCACTGCTGGATGAAACTAAGACCTGTAGCATTCGTTGTTACAAAGGGGCTCTTTGTTCATTCAGACGCTGTCTTTCCGACAGAGACCTGTTCTTCACCCGAGGACGGCTGCTTGCGTTGTGCCCGAAACGTCGTGAGAATTGTATTCTATGTTTCATTATTTTATTATTTCCCTTCTACGTGACTTTACCGAAAGAACCAAGAAGAGTGAGAAACACATAAGAAGACACCAGTCCAGATCGTCGTTGCAGTCGTTTATTTCATTTGTAGTATTTTGTTGTTTCCCTTCGACCTGACTTTACCGAAAGAACCAAGAATGAAAATAGTAATATCATTGTTGTTTTCATCATCATCATCAACAGCACACAGATGTCTGTCCCAGGTCTGTCGCGATACAGACCTGGGACATACAAAGACCACCCACTCCCCCATGTAGCCTCAACAGACTGTTGGGACAAGTGCTGTTAGCGAGCAGCACCTATGAAGGCCGGCACGGCACACGAGGGGGTGGGTGGCCAACACCACGCCCGGCCGCCTTTGTCTCCCCAGCGGCGATGGTAACACACCGCACCGGGTACTCATTGGAAGCTGAGTAGACCTAGGGGAGAGGCCCAGGTACCGATTCAGATCATCGTCGTTGGTGTTTGCCGGGAGCGGAGAATTGAACCCGGGTCGCCGGGTTTGTAGCACGGCGCCCCAACCCACGACACCACCGCTCCCACACACACAGAGACACGGACAATGATGTGAATATTATTATTTATTGTGATACTTGTTTAGCCCTGGAAAGACTCTTTTTTCCAGGAGGTTCCTGCCAGGTTCTCCATGCAGTAGCGGCAGTGATGTCCCTGCCGCTGCTACCGTGTGATCCCGGCTGAGTTATATTATATTTTCAGCGCTGGGACGTTTTAGACCAATACCAGTGATATTGTATGTAGGTGGAGGGTTTGTTGCCAATGTAAGTATCGGTGCACCGATGTCCTTGTGTCGAGCAGTTATATCTACGGGAACTTGTTGCCAGCATCAAAAATGATGAAAAATCAAAAGAGGTTTGGACCCTTTCTGGCAATAAAACAGGAAGTGTTAACATGCCAAACACCAAAATAGGTTCCGTTTTGCAATAACATACAAACTACACCTATGAAGGCCGGCACGGCACACCAGGGGGTGGGTGGCCAGCACCACGCCCGGCCGCCTTTGTCTCCCCAGTGGTGATTTTTACACACCGCACCAGGTACTCATTTGAGGCCAAGCCGACAGAGAGGAGGCCTAGAATCGGTTCAGAGTATCGTCACTGGTGTTGGTGGTGGTCGTGAGCGGGAATCGAACTTGGTTCGCCAGGATTACACAGCGCACCGCTAACCGCTGCACCGCCGCTCCCCAATCCAACCCCAGACCAGAGGTCGCAAACGGGTTTTGATTCCGTACCCGTACCCGGCCGCACCAGGGTCGCAAACGGGTACCCGTACCCGGCCGGGTACGGGTACCCGTTCCCTACCCGTACCCTACCCAAAATGAGTGACAAACGGTTACTCACCAGTGACTCACGGCCTACCCGTACCCGTACCCGGCTGGGTACGGGTAGCCGGGTATCAGGTAGGGTACGGGTATCGGGTACCCGGTTGCGACCTCTGGTCATGAGCGGGAATCGAACTTGGTTCCCCAGGATTACACAGCGCAGCGCTAACCGCTGCACCGCCGCTCCCCAATCCAACCCCAGACACACGCACCCACGCAGAATGGTCCCATCATCATCAACATCATCATCCACCTCCTCCATCTCCTCATGATCATCTTCATCATCCACCTCCTGTACCTCCACCACCTCATCGTCGTCATCGTCGTCTTCAGCGCCGGCGTTTGGAGGCAACCTGGGCTCCCCGCGCAGCCGGCACGCTGGCGCGCTTGCGTGCGCGCTGCTCTACGTCTCTGCCCCCATCGATGTCCGAGCTGTCTGCCTCGTCTCCCTGTCCCCGCGACGACAACAAGGGGGACAATGTCCAGAGATGTAGACACACACACACACCGTCCGCCAACCAACAAGCGCCAATCAAAAGTGTTATCGAGTCTTATTGTATTGGCGGTGTCACACCGGCGCAGCATCATAACAACAGAGTGTAGTGGTGAGTGTAGTGGTGAGTGTAGTGGTGGTGAGTGTAGTGGTGAGTGTAGTAGTGGTGAGTGTAGTGGTGAGTGTTCTAGTGGTGAGTGTAGTGGTGAGTGTAGTGGTGAGTGTAGTAGTGAGTGTAGTAGTGAGTGTAGTGGTGAGTGTAGTGGTGAGTGTAGTAGTGGTGAGTATAGTGGTGAGTATAGTGGTGAGTGTAGTGGTGAGTGTAGTGGTGAGTGTAGTGGTGAGTGTAGTTGTGGTGAGTGTAGTTGTGGTGAGTGTAGTAGTGGTGAGTGTACTAGTGTTGAGTGTACTAGTGGTGAGTGTAGTGGTGAGTGTAGTGGTGAGTGTAGTAGTGGTGAGTGTACTAGTGTTGAGTGTACTAGTGGTGAGCGTATAGTGTAGTGTAGTAGTGTTGAGTATACTAGTGGTGAGTGTATAGTGTAGTGTGTAGGATGCACGTTGAGATTCATGAGTGCCACGTGGTGACCAATACGCTGTGACTTGCTCAGTAATAGTGGGCACTGTGCGTGTTCAGCGCAACGCTCCTGAAACAAAAGTACAGACGCCACGTCCAAGCGACACCACGTGGTGTGACGGTGCGGTTTGAGTGGGCGGCTCTCACGCGGCTGATGCTGAGGCGGTGAGCGTCAACGTCCAGTCTCTGCCTGAGCACGCCGGTGAGGATGAGCTCGGCGCTCACCACGTCAACGCCGCGGCAATCGCGCAGACGCACAGAGTCCTCGGGGCACGACACCACCAGCAGTCCGGCCTGGGTTACACACACGGACACGGATACACACACACGGACACGGATACACACACACGGACACGGATACACACACACACGCGGATACACACACACACGCGGATACACACACACACGCGGACACACACACACGGGCACACACACACGGATACACACACACACACACACGGATAGACACACACACGGATACACACATACACACACACACGGATACACACACACGGATAGACACACACACGGATACACACGAATACACACACACAGGTACACACACGCACGCGAGTACACACACACACGTGAGTACACACACATGCACACAGGTACACACACACACGTGGGTTCACACACACGTGGGTAGACACACACACACACGCGGGTACACACACACACACACACAGGTACACACACACACACAGGTACACACACACACACAGGTACACACACACAGGTACACACACACACAGGTACACACACGTGGGTACACACACACAGGTACACACACACACAGGTACACACACGTGGGTACACACACACAGGTACACACACACACACAGGTACACACACACCCACACCGTACCTGTGCAGTGCGAGGCACTTTGGGTAGCCAGGTGGCCCCGCCGCACTCCACGATGTCGCGCATGTGGACCGGCTCGGGCTTCACTCCGGCGGTCACGTGCACGCGGCAGCCCTGCAGGCACAAGCCGGGCAGGCCAGTACATACATGTATGCGTGTGTGTGTGTACGTGCGTGTGTGTACGTGCGTGTGTGTACGTGTGTGTGTGTACGTGTGTGTGTGTACGTGTGTGTGTGTGTACGTGCGTGTGTGTACGTGTGTGTGTGTGTGTGTGTGTGCATGTGTACGTGTGTGTACGTGTGTGTGTGTGCGTGTGTACGTGTGTGTGTGTGTACGTGTGTGTGTGTACGTGCGTGTGTGTGTGTGTGCGTGTGTACGTGTGTGTGTGTACGTGTGTGTGTGTACGTGTGTGTGTGTGCGTGTGTACGTGTGTGTGTGTACGTGTGTGTACGTGTGTGTGCGTGCGTGCGTCACCCACGTGGAACAGCGGCCTCTCTCTCGCCGCAAGGAGCGACTCTCTGAGCCGGAAGTGGAACTTGGCCTCTTGCTCCTCGTCGCTCACGATGAACGCATCGCTGTCCACCACGCGGCCACTCTGCTCACACTGACAAAGACAAAGGTCCCCTGTGTAGCCTTGAACATAACTTTTGGGGCATGAGCTCAACTCACTCTGTAGAACAGGGGGAGATCATACAAACTCCACTCACTCACTCTGTAGAACAGGGAGAGATCATACAAACTCCACTCACCCACTCTGTAGAACAGGGGGAGATCACACAAACTCCACTCACTCACTCTGTAGAACAGGGAAAGATCATACAAACTCCACTCACTCACTCTGTAGAACAGGGGGAGATCACACAAACTCCACTCACTCACTCTGTAGAACAGGGGGAGATCACACAAACTCCACTCACTCACTCTGTAGAACAGGGGGAGATCACACAAACTCCACTCACTCACTCTGTAGAACAGGGGGAGATCACACAAACTACACTCACATCACTCTGTAGAACAGGGGGAGATCACACAAACTCCACTCACTCACTCTGTAGAACAGGGGGAGATCACACAAACTACACTCACTCTGTAGAACAGGGGGAGATCACACAAACGCCACTCACTCACTCTGTAGAACAGGGGGAGATCACACAAACTACACTCACTCACTCTGTAGAACAGGGGGAGATCCTACAAACTCCACTCACTCACTCTGTAGAACAGGGGGAGATCATACAAACTCCACTCACTCACTATGTAGGACAGGGGGAGATCATACAAACTCCACTCACTCACTCTGTAGAACAGGGGGAGATCACACAAACTCCACTGACTCACTCTGTAGAACAGGGGGAGATCACACAAACTCCACTGACTCACTCTGTAGAACAGGGGGAGATCACACAAACTACACTCACTCTGTAGAACAGGGGGAGATCACACAAACTCCACTCACTCACTCTGTAGAACAGGGGGAGATCACACAAACTACACTCACTCTGTAGAACAGGGGGAGATCACACAAACTACACTCACTCACTCTGTAGAACAGGGGGAGATCATACAAACTCCACTCACTCACTCTGTAGAACAGGGAGAGATCATACAAACTCCACTCACTCACTCTGTAGAACAGAGGGAGATCATACAAACTCCACTCACTCACTCTGTAGAACAGGGGGAGATCACACAAACTCCACTCACTCACTCTGTAGAACAGGGGGAGATCACACAAACTACACTCACTCTGTAGAACAGGGGGAGATCACACAAACTCCACTCACTCACTCTGTAGAACAGGGGGAGATCACACAAACTACACTCACTCACTCTGTAGAACAGGGGGAGATCATACAAACTCCACTCACTCACTCTGTAGAACAGGGAGAGATCATACAAACTACACTCACTCACTCTGTAGAACAGAGGGAGATCATACAAACTCCACTCACTCACTCTGTAGAACAGAGGGAGATCATACAAACTCCACTCACTCACTCTGTAGAACAGGGGGAGATCACACAAACTACACTCACTCACTCTGTAGAACAGGGGGAGATCACACAAACTCCACTCACTCTGTAGAACAGGGGGAGATCACACAAACTCCACTCACTCACTCTGTAGGACAGGGGGAGATCATACAAACTCCACTCACTCACTCTGTAGAACAGGGGAGATCACACAAACTCCACTCACTCTGTAGAACAGTGGGAGATCATACAAACTCCACTCACTCTGTAGAACAGGGGGAGATCATACAAACTACACTCACTCTGTAGAACAGGGGGAGATCACACAAACTCCACAGAAAGACGCCCCAGTAAGGTAATAAACCCAAGGCCCGAGCATCACCGACGTGCTGCTACCACCACCTTGCCCGCCCGCACAACCCGCGGCACCTGCTGGATCCAGGCGGGCGTGACGACGGGCACGCCCCTGGCGACGGCGCACAGCATCTTGACGGTGCGGCACACGCGGTCGGTGACGAGGTGGGAGCAGTCGCGCGCGCTGGCGCTCACGGCCCAGCCCAGCGCCCGCACGCGCTGCTCCAGCGCCTCCAGCTCCGCCACTCCCGTGAACGCCACCTGCCGCCGGTACGCACGGAGAGGTAGGTTACACACGCGGGCGAGCACGTGCACACGCTGGGCACGCACGTGCACACGCGGGTACAAATGGAGAATTACGTACACAGAGATACAACAACGACAGGTGACGGTGACACAGAGGTCGCAACCGGGTACCCGATACCCGTACCCTACCCGATACCCGGCTACCCGTACCCGGCCGGGTACGGGTAGCCGTTTGCGACCCTGGTGCGGCCGGGTACGGGTAAGGAATCAAAACCCGTCTGCGACCTCTGCGGTGACATCACCACGGTGCCTGTGCCAGACTAGGTGCACTCGGAGACCACGCAAAGTGTCGAAGGTTCGCTGCTGGCAGGAGATCACGGCACAGACCCCAGGTGCCGTAGGTTGACTGACTGAGATGACTGGCCGATGCACCACCTGTGCCCCCTACTGTGCTAACTTGCTGCGTTTTATCCGTCTGCGCTACGCTGTTCTTGGGGTGCGATACACACACAGAGATAGATAAGTAAAGATACACAGAGACAGAGACGGTTGTACGCACCCGTGAACGCCACCTGCAGCAGATATGCGCATACAGAGGGCTACAAAAACAAAGATCCCCCGTATACCTGAACAGACTTTTGGGAGCAAGTACTGTTAGCGAGCACCTATGAAGGCCGGCACAGCGCACGAGGAGGTGGGTGGCCAGCACCACGCCCGGCCGCCTTTGTCTCCCCAGTGGTGATGTTTACTACACAACTCACTAACAATTGTTTAGTTTTCCAAATTTTTTGTTTATTTTTAACACGTAAGGCCCAGTGAGATATGCAGCTCTTTTTCAGAAGCGACCTGGTCACAAATAAATGCTCAACGAAGCGGCTTATCAAGTGGAAATTTACAGCAGCCAAATAGGCAGATGCACGCACACGTGAACAAATACTCTTGACGCATTCTTCTATAATGTCGAGGGGAAAACCGGAGAACCCGGAGAAAATTCCACGCGACCACGAGGAGAGAGACCTGGAGACTCCAAATATACAGCAGCAGGCGTCAGGGTCGTGATCGAACCCACGACCTCCTGTATACCAGGCGAGGGAGTTAACATCTCCTAGCCACCGTGATGATGATGAGAGAGAGACACAGACTCCAAATATACAGCAGCAGCAGGCGTCGTCAGGGTCGGGATCGAACCCACGACCTCCTGTATACCAGGCGAGGTAGTTAACATCTCCTATCCACCGTGATGATGATGAGAGAGAGACACAGACTCCAAATATACAGCAGCAGGTGTCAGGGTCGTGAATGAACCCACGACCTCCTGTATACCAGGCGAGGTAGTCAACATCTCATAGCCACCGTGATGATGATGAGAGAGAGACACAGACTCCAAATATACAGCAGCAGGTGTCAGGATTGGGATCGAAACCCACGACAGCCTGCATACCAGGCAGAGGTGGTCAACATCTGCTATCCATCTCACCACCATGGCGCCCCCTCACACACTCACACGCTCACACGCTCACACACACAGCAAGTGAATTGAACTGTGCACACCCAGCTACGTTGCAGTGCGAAAAGAACACTCATTCGTACAAACATACGAGTCTGCCCACATGCCACGCTCGCACAGGGAGAATCTCACCTTGGGAACGTCTCCCCTGGGATTGCGGGCAGACCGCGGCGTTCCTCGCCCTCCTGAAATTCCCGGCGTTGTCGGCGTTCCCGAGTTTCCCGATGCCCCTCTGCTCCCCTGCGGCGTTCCTTGGCCTCTGCGGAATTTCCGGCGTTCCCGAATTTCTCGATGCCGCTCCTCGCCCCTGCGGCGTTCCTGTCCTCCGAGGAATTTCCGGCGTTCCCGAGTTTCCCGATGCCCCTCGCCCCTGCGGCGTTCCTTCCGGCGTTCCCGAGTTTCCCGATGCCCCTCGCCCCTGCGGCGTTCCTTCCGGCGTTCCCGAGTTTCCCGATGCCCCTCGCCCCTGCGGCGTTCTTCCGGCGTTCCCGAGTTTCCCGGTGGCCCTCCGCTCCCCTGCGGCGTTCCCGGAGCGTCGGTGGCTTGGGACGTTCCTGACGTTGCCGACGTTCCCGGTTTCCTGGAATTCCGACGGGATTTCTGCGGCGCTGTCGGCTGCTCCGTGGCCCCACGTCTCTTCCGGGTGGACAGCGTGAGGGGGGGCTGTGTGGGGTGGGGGGGGAGAAAGGGTGGGGAGGGGGGGGGGCTTAGGTGGGATTTTGTTGACTGTAATAATTTAATAAATCAACCGGGACTGAGTACTGTTGTGTAACGTCAGTACTGATTCCACTTACTATCGTCACACCTCCCGCACCATCGCCACCGTCTCCATCATCACTGGCAGCAGTAGCGGTGGCAGCATCACTGCTACCCTCTTCCTGCCCCGCGGCATTGTGGGAGGCAGCCAAGGGGGGCGGCACCTCCTGCGGGGCCACCGGCTGTTGCTGTGGGCGACCTCGCCGCCTCCGCCGGGTTTCCTCCTGTGGTGCGGTTCCCCCGCCCCCACCGCTTTCCGCTTCTAGTGACAGGGAGATCATGAAAACAGATCTTAGACTTGATTCATAAGTGATCGTTTGGGGTGGGGGGGGTTAAGCCACTCTGTGGCGATCCGGTGATGTTTGAGAACCCTCCACCGTCTAAGTGGCTGAGCAGGTGAGTAGGTGAGTGAGTGGGTGAGTGAGTGAGTGAGTCAGTGGGTGGGTGAGTGAGTGGCTGAGTGGGTGGGTGATTGAGTGGGTGGGTGAGTGAATGCATGAGTGGGTGGGTGAGTGGGTGGGGGGGTGAGTGAGTGGGTGGGTGAGTGATTGGGTGGGTAGGTCAGTGAGTGAGCTGAAACAATCATAATCGCCACGTCTTTAAACGCCTGCCCACCGCGTGACGGTTTAATTTGATTGGCTGTCATTAGTCGGTGGTGGAGGGCGTCCCGACAAAACAATCTGGCGAGACGGTCACTACGCGGCCCAACCCTGAAATAGATCGACTACGAACCGTAACATTAGCTGAGCATACCCACTACGTGTCAATCTCTTGTCTCACCAACTATCATCTACACCACGAACGCCGCCGTGGTGATGCTCATGGAAACAACAACGATGACGACGACGACGACGGGACTCACTTGTTTCTACTTCCTTTGTCTCGTCCGCACCTCCACCACCGCTATCCACCGCCGCCTCCCACCGCCTCCTCCACCACCGCCTCCACCACCTCCTTCTCCGCCTCCACCGCCCATGCTCGTCCCCTGCCCCCCCCTGCCCCCCGCTGTCGCCGCTCCTGCCCTTCCACCACCTCGGCTGACCCTTGATGACCGCTGCCGACCCCCCCGACCTCTGGGATCATCTGGCCAGATGACGAGGTGGACCTCTCCTCCCCGCGCCAGCGCGCCATTTGTCTCGTCATCGCCGTCACCGCCGTCATCATCGTCGCCGCCGGCCCGCGTCCTCCTCCTCCTCCTCTGTGGTGTCGCAGGGCCCTTTGCCCGGCCTCCAGCCCTTCCCTGGGCCACCTTGCCGGTCCGTGGAGTGGCCGCCGCCGCCGCTTCGCTTCCCGTCCCGGGGGCGACACTTTCCGTGCGCACGGCATCGCCGACGCCGCTTCCCGCTGCTGTGACATCACTTTCTGCCGCAACGACGTTGGTTCCCGTCTCGGCGCCGCTGCTTCCTGCGTCGACGGCGTCACTGCCGGCGTCACTGCCGGCGTCACCTCCTGTCGCGGCGGCGCTGTTCCGCGGATTTCTACCACGCCGCACGTTGCCTCGGGCCTTGGCGACGTCACTTTCCTGTCCTGGCGTTGCGTGGGGGCGACGTCACTTCCTGTCTTGTCGTCGTGTGGGGCTGTGGCGACGTTACTTCCTGTCCTGTCGTGACATGGGGCTCTGGCGACGTCACTTCCTGTCTTGTCGTCGCGTGGGGCTGTGGCGACGTCACTTCCTGTCCTGGAGTCACATGGGGTTCTGGCGACGTCACTTCCTGTCTTGTCGTCACGTGGGGCTGTGGCGACGTCACTTCCTGCCCCTCCGCTTGACTCGACTGCCACTGCCGCCGATGTTGCCGTCGCTGCTTTCTGCTTGGCTCGGGTTTTCCGATCCATGCTGCTGGATATGGGGACATCCTGTAAAACAAAGAGCATAAATCATGCTATCTGCCATTCAACTTATCCGCTAATTTCACAATTGCACAATCCCCTTATCCGCTATTCTATTTACTGCCCTATCCTCATCCGCCATTCAACTTATTTCTATGCAATTTTCCTCTTTTATCCTTTATACTATACAGGAGGTCATGGGTTAGATCCCGTCCCTGACGCCTGCTGCCGTATATGTGGAGTTTGCGTCTCTCTCTCCCCGTGGTCGCTCACTCACCTCCACCACCCGTCCAACCTGCTCTGTGGCGTCATCCTCTGAACTGGCGACCTTTGACCTCCCGGCTGCTGTCCTCCTTTGGCCAATCCTACGAGTGCTGGGCGAGGGGTGACCTGGGGATGGCAAAGACATAGACGACCAGTGTGGCCTACACAGGTTGCTGGGGCAAGTGCTGTTAGCGAGCACCCACGAATTTGGGTCGCCGGGTTTGTAGCGTGGTACACCAACCACTGAACCACCGCTCCCCCCACCCCCAATACACACAGATACAAAGATCCCCAGTACAGCCTTAACAGACTGTAGGGCCAAGTGCTGTTAGCGAGTAGCAGCAGCAGCACCTGTGAAGGCCGGCACTGTGGCACATGAGGAGGTGTTTACACATCGCCCCAGGTACTCATTGGAGGCTGAGTCGACCTAGGGGAGGTCCAGGACCGAATCAGATAATCGTCACTGGTGTTTGCCGTAAGCGGGAATCGAATCCGGGTCACCAGGTTCGTAGCGCAGCGTAGCGCTAACCACCACACTACCGCTCCCCACAGAGGCACACACACAGACTTACAGATAATCCGCGTACGATACGTACACCCACCTGGATTAACGTCTCTTTGGTTCGATGCTTCAGCCAGAGGTTCAACGGTCCCAGCAGCTTCCACATGAGCACCTTCCTCCTCCTCCTCCTCCCCGTGATCCTCCGGAAGCTCGGCACCGTCACCTTGGCCAGTCGCTTCATCACCACCGTCAAACTCCGCTGGCGTCTCGACCTCGGCGGCTCTGGTTGTGTTCCCGGTTCTGGCGGCGGTGCGGCCGTGCCGCCCCTCTTGGCGGTCGCGGGCTTCCTGCCGCCTCGTCCCGCGCTCGGAGTCCTGGCGGAACGCCGTGGCGCATTTCTCCCCGCGGGCGACGAAGGCTCGGCCGACGATCCACCGTCGGCGCTGCCACCGCCGCCGTCACCGATGCCGCCGAGTCTCGCTTCCTCGGCGTCTCCCGAGCGCCCGCACTCTCCCCGCGGAGCGCCGTCTCCATCCTCCGCCGAACGCTTCCTCCCGAGTATCTTAGAACTTTCCGGACATTCCGTGCGGCGCTCTCGCGTTTCCTCTCCATCCTCCGACGGCAGATCTCCGCCATCTCTCGCCTCTCCCGGCGACTCTCTCTCGCCCGTCGACGCCTTTCCGACCTTCTTCAGAGTTTCCGGGCGATCAGGTTCGGCGGCTCGAGCGGCCTCCTCAACCCCCGCCATCAGCTCGTCGCGCCCCGTGCCCTCGACCGGAGCCACCCAAGTCTCCGACCCGAACAAGTCCGCCTTTAGTCTTCGCCGAGGGCCCCTTTCCTAGTTTCTTCGGAGCTTCCGGGCGTCTGGCGTCTGGGTGCCGCGTCTCCGCCCGCCGCCGTCGACGGGAAGTCGGAGTTCCCCTTCGCTCTCCGGGAGGCCGCCGCCGTTTCCAAGTCATTCCGCTTCCTTGCCGACTTCATTCCGGGTTTCTTCGAAGTTCCCGGGGGTTCGACCCTCGGGGGGGCAGCCGTGTCTCTCCCTCGACGACCGCCGCTGCCGCCGCTTCATTCGCTCCGCCCGTCGCGGAGCCCCCCCGCCGTTTCGCGCTCTCGCGGGACGCCTGTCTTGCCCGACGACTTCCCTCCAAGGCGTCCTCCTCGCTTCGAAGACGACGGGATCCCCGGTGGGCAATGATCCGGCCGTATTATTCTCCGCTGCTGGCGGGTACCTCTTCTCCGTTGCCCGCAGGAGTCGGTGGCACGGCGGTTTGCGGCGGCGGCGGGGAGGCACCCTGCCTCTCGGTCGGCTTCTCTACGGCGTCGCCGGTTTCCGTCGACGCGCTTCGCGGGCCGAGCAAAGCGGCGTCCGTCAGCGTGGACGCCCCCCTCGCGCCCGCGATCTTCCCCGCCGGCCGACGGGCACCCGGCCGCGGTTGCCTGACAGAGAATCTTCGTTCTCAGTCGCAGTCTTTTCAACCGTCTCCCATCAGCCTTCGGATCTTCCGCAGGCCTTTCAGTTGTCAGGGAAAGCGTCTTAGCCGTGGTTTCCCCCGACACTCCTCCTCCTGCCCCGGCTTCTCGTCCCCCCTCTGAACTTCCCGCGGCGGGGGTCCGTCGACTGCCCGCCGTGTGTCGCAGCGAAGCGGCTCGTCACCCTCCCGTCGGTTCAACTTCACGCGACTCTGCCGGTATCTCGGCGTCCAAGTCGATCGTCTCGTCGTCGTCAGAGCTTGCGGTCTCAACACCCTCGGGATTTCCCGTGGTCGAGGCCGAGTTCACGCCTTCCGCGTTCATCAAACCGCCACCTGCATCCGTCTCCTTCTCTCCGCGGTCTCTCTTCTCCACCAGCGCCGCCGCCGCCGCGCCGTCTCCACCGGTCTCTAAGATTCGCCGGGCCACCAGAATCTCCGCCGAGCGATCCGCCACCTTCGGCCTCCTCCGTCGACGGCGTGCCGACGTCTCCCGCTTCCTTGGAAGCGCGCGGGAGTTCGCCCTGCGGATCCGAGCGTTCATCTGCCGCCTCCAACGCCGCCTCCCCGCCCACCTCCTCCTCCCCCAGCCTCGGCCGCCCCTCGCCCCCGAAGGCGGCACCTCCACCGAGACTTCCGCCCTCGACCTCCGGCTTTGGACAGGCGCCCTCTGCTCGCATCGGCGCGCCGACGCCGTCGCCACCTCCCAACCGCCGCTAGTGCCCGGCGAAATCTCGCGGTCGTTACCGACGCCGAATAAACCGCTCCACGGGCTGCGTGGGCTCGCAGTCGTCAAAGTGGCAGGCGTCGGTGGCGGGAGACACGGCAGCTGTTTCTTTGCCGTTTGTTGCCGACGTACTGCTCCATCGGCTGCGTCTCGTCGAGGGCCGACGATGATGATGACGGGGATGTTTTCTGATGCCATTGGCAGTGCTGATGATGTTGATGGTGGTGATGCTGATGATGGCGGGGGATGGGATGGGGAAGCCTGGATGGGTTTTGTGGGTGGAACGTTGGTAGGCCGTGTAAGGGTGGTGGATATCGTTCCACAGTGGGTGTATGTGTGCGTGTGTGAATGTGTATGTTGAGGTGTGTGTGTGTGTTGTTTACCGCGTGTGTGTTAGTATGTTGGGGTGTGTGTGTGTGTAGGCACAGATAGGGTATTAGTTGCAGAAATTTAAGTTTGAGAGTAATTACTTTATACTCCGACACAGACAGTACGAGTTTATAAAAGACACCCAGACCAGGGCTCGAACCCAGTTTCTTAACGCTTCTGGGTGAGCATCTCCAACACGGCCATCATGAAATCAAACATGGCCATTATGAATCAAACAAGGCCATTGTGAACCTGACACAGCCATGATGAACCCCCTAAAGATGCCGCAATGGCAAGATGTTAACTTCGATCCCGACCCTGACGCCTGCTGCTGCTGTATATTTAGAGTTTGCGTCTCTCTCTCATCATCATCACGGTGGCTAGGAGATGTTAACTGCCTCGCCTGGTAGGCAGGAGGTCGTGGGTTCGATCCCGACCCTGACGCCTGCTGCTGTATATTTGGAGTTTGCATGACTCTCCCCGTGTTCGCGGGGATTTTTCTCCGGGTCCTCTGGTTTTTCCCTTCCCATTTGGAATCAACGTCACGCGTTTAGAGTATTTGTCTGCTGTAAATGTGCGATAAGCCGCTTCGTTGCGCTACCATTTGTGGCCAGATCGCTTCTGAAGAAGAGCTATATAGCTTAGTGGGCCCTTACCTGGTCAAATAAAAGTAGTTTAGTTTAGTTTTTAGTTCGCCTAAGACACCCAGATGCAGGGTTTCGAACCCAAGAATTCAACAGTACAACCTCAGCAATGTCTCTGACATGGCCATTATGAACCCCCAACAACAACAACAACCGCCATTCACCACTAAGTGGTGGTGATGTCACCACAGCGCTTGTGCCAGGCTATATGCACTTTAAGGCCATGTGAAGTGTCGAACGCCCGCTAGCAGGTCACGGGACTGACCCAGGTGCCATGGGTTGACTGACTGAGATGACTGGCCGATGCATCACCTGTGCCCCCTACTGTGCCCCCTACTGTGCCAATTTGCTGTATTTTATCCACCCGGCGCTCCGCTCGTTGTTGTGAGCGTCACTCCTCTGCCCTCC